ATATATATATATATATATATATATATATATATATGGGTTATGTTATGGTGCTCACACTATCGAGTAATTTATCATGGTATTCAACAAAATTTGGATACTTATATACCCTTGTTTTGTACATAGAGCTTTTTTTTAATAAAGGTATTTTTAATCATTAGGATGGATGTGACATCATCCACATGGGGTGTGACATCACCCACATGGGCCATTAAATGCCATTAGTGTGCTCCATGTAGGTGATGTCACAACCCATGCGGATGATGTCACACCCCCCCCCCCCCCCTTTTCCTCTTCTGGCAGCATAGGCATTGCCCAACATTCATTGGGGACTAATGCTTCCATCATCTGAGTGAGTTGTAGCAAAAATGTCGAGCTTTCCTAAGTCATATTCAAAGTCAGAGAGCATACATTCTTTGTAATTAATGCAGGACCTTGTGACCTTTAAACTATGTAGAGCCCCAATGTTGCATCTATATTTCACCAAAAGACCTCAATGTCAAGCACTTGAACCCTATGAAATGTGTTTGATCAAGATTCCTAGAAGGCATGCAGACCTCTCTCAAGCTCTCCACTTCAACTCAAAGAATCAACGTTTTTCTTCCTCTTCCTCCTCATCAATACTTTATTCATCACATTGGTATTCCTCATCGCCTTCAGAATTACTGCTTGAGACCTTTCTATGATTTTGGGTACAATGGTACTCATCATAGATTGCGAACCCACTATATCTTCATCACTGTCAAAATCTGCCTCATATTCTGAATCAACTTCTACAAACTCTCTTTGAAAACCATTGTAGCATTGTCAGTTGCTGCAATCCAGAGGACCAAAGTTATGTTCAACATCTGTGTCTTCAACGTATCATTTGAAGCATTTTGTAAGCGGTTGAGGGACTTGTGAAGAACCCCCATTTACTTTACCACTATTGGAAGTTTCAGGGTAACCGGTCGCTTGTTTCCTTAGATTGGGTGCAAGAGTAGTTGCAATCTCTTGGGGATTTTGATTGTCTCATTAATGAACCTATCATAATCATCAAAGGTACATGCAACTGTTTCTCTATCACAAAGAGATCATCATATGGTACTGTCCACCAGTGCAATTAAAGCTAACTTCCTATGTTGTTTCTTCAGCTGCCTTCCTTTCCTTCTATAAATTTTCTCAATCCGTGGAAGAATGTCATTCATCAGCATCTTTTCGGGGGGCAGCTTCTCTCTTAATTTTTCTCACAGAGTGCTTATCAAAAGCTTCCTAAAATTCATCAAAGTTATTTGCAACCATCACCCACTGGTAAGTAATAATAGGCTGGATGAGATACCCTTAGTCTCCAACTTTTTTCAACTCAATTGTTCTCGCTGTACGATATAAATGATGGTCAACAATTGGATGACCTCCATGCCAGTAAGAAGTTCCATGTGAATCACGCCACAATTCACTCGCTAAGGAATGCTGAAGGCTGAATTTCTTAAATCTTAATTCCTAAATCTTCTTGGTCTAAACGAATATCAAATTATGCTTAAACACGCCCTCCAGGCTCAAGTGCCCAATAGGCCTCGACTTCCTTCCCATGTGAAGCAACATCCACCAGTCCTTTAACTTTCAGCACAATACTCTAACTCCAGTTCTACGCCCCAGAGCAATTCTGGTTATGGGAGGGCTAGCCTTCGACAGCGGCATATGAATGTCAGATAAGGTCTTATTGGTGATGATAAGAGTAGTTTCCATCTCCTCCACTGAGTATCTCCACTTTTAACGTTCAGAAGGGGTCTGAAAACATGGAAAAAGTTGAGAGATGAACTCTCACATGGAGCATAAGGCCCAGGGAGGGACACGAGAGAGATCTGTGATATCCTTGCATTGATCAGAAAAGTCTCTTTGCAGAGAGAGAAGGGTGGTGTTTTTGCTGCTGGCCTGCTGCTGTTTTTTTATTGCAGAAGAGAGAGAAGAGGCAAGTAAAGTACCGTTAGACACGACCATCTTCCTTGGTGTGAGGAGAAAGAATTCAAATACTAATAAGTATATGCAGGAGCTTGTACATACCATTACATAAATAAAGTTTTATAAGTTCAATGCAAGAATTTATTTAAATATAGAGGTAAAAATATACCTAAATAATAAGATTAGTGTCTTGAGGTATCAAAACTGTCCATTTCATATATGTTGAGGTACAACTGTTGAAAACCATCATGTACTAGAACTCTGACAAGTTCAACCAATTAGATCCAAGCCATTATTATCCAACCAACCAAATTTGAGAAAGAGCACGGAACCAATGAAACTCGCAGATTCATTTATCATCAACTTTCCAAAGTAGAAGGCATCCCAACACTAAGCCAGGAATGACCAAAGACAAGGGCAGAGCATAAATGCTCAGATGGAGCATGTAAGCCCCTTCACAAAATATAAACATGAAAGGATGATATGAATCAAATTCTCAAAAATAGCAAAATGCCAAAACAAGGAATTCTGTAGCATTCAATACCAAATCCTAGTAAGTTCCTATACTTAAAGGACTAGCATGTATGCCTGCTTCCCTAGATAGATACATGTAATGCAATATGCTAATGCAATATGCAATCCTAAATGCATTCTTATGGGCCATGCATGTCTGAGCTCTGAAATGGCAAACAAAAAGTGATTGAAAACGTAACAAACCTCCACACTAAAGCATTGACAAGGTAAGTCCTGAATGAAAATTTGAAAAAACAGCGTATAACTTTCTAGATTTACTAAAACAAAAAAGAGACTGAAACCAAAGTCAGGCATCTCAACCATATAATCGGTGTTGCCTGCATTTTGCCATGGTGCACACATGGACACGTCCCTGAATATAGGACACTTTCTAATAGGCATCAACCAAAGAAGTGCTAGAAAATTCATGACAAGTGTCGATGAATTTTTCTAAAGTTTTCAAGTTTTAATTTTCTATATTTATATACTCTATATTTTTCATGTAGATTCATCGCCATCTGGGGGTTATTTGGCTTGGTCAAACACCTGTGACGCGTGTTGGACACCAACACCTCTGCCACTGTCCACGCAAAACTGGATACAATTCTTTGGAGACAAAGGAGAACCACCAAAGTACAAGGACAACAAGCACCACACCTCTTGGAATTTGAATTTCTTGGAAAACTGCTAATGGATACGCTTCAGGTGAAAGAAGCTACCATATACTATGATAAGCTTGCTCTTAAAGTCCCTCAGAGTGCTCACCACATTTATAACATCCATGCATAATAGAGATAATTGATCATTTGCAGCAAAGAGAGATGTATGATGAGTGCATCCTACATGAGAAATTAATGATTTCTATAATTTTGGTTTCCTCAATTCCAATATATCTTCTATATGCAGAATTGTTTCGCTGGCACAACATGCACATTCTTCGACTCCTAATGAGGAAAAACAACTTCCCATTTCTTTTTTCTTTTTTTTTTTTTGAAACCCAAGGGTCCAGTCAATGAGCACATAATTATCAAGAGAAACACATAATACTTCTAAGAACAGACAGAAGGCATGCAAGATCTGTTGTACTCTACTAAAATAACCAATTCATACTTTGCAAAAAAGTTCATTAAATAACCACATTACATCCAGAGAAAAAGTATGCTAGTACGAAGATTGTCTGAACTTACATGCCATAACAAACAATCCCATTTGGAAGTTGATTTTCTTCCTAAAAGTGATAGCTGTCACCAGCAACACAAAGTGGAAACATAGTAACAGTATTAACCAAGGCTCCTGCAAATCAAGCAATACAAAAATGTCATATATTCACAAGTATCATATTTTCATGTATGCTACGATGATACTTTTACAAAATGATGCATATCATAGTTTGTGGAGAAACTGAAAAATCAGTAAGCATGTTTTATTTGAGAATAAAACTCTGCAGGTTACATTATGAAAAAACTTATCACAAGAGGAACTGAATAAAGGAAGGACATATCACAAGAAGGAAAACACACTAGCTTCACATGATCTTCCCTTTCTTAATAATAATCCATACGGTATCGATCACATAATGATGATAATAATAGTAATAACAAATCAACAACAAACTCTTATAAGAGCGTGACCCATTTGGCATGTCAACTATTTAGTGTACGAGGTGAGTTAAGATATCTCAATCATATGTGGTCTGAATGCAACACAAACTCATGATGACACCAAATAATGCCTCCATTGTTAAAGAGCATGAACAATTGAAGAAATTTCGTTATCGTATGCCAGGTAACATGAATGCACATCTTCAAATTCTCACTAAAGAATGTCCAAGGGTGTCCCTCCTGGCTCAACACAGTACCTATCTCAACATGAAGGGATCACAATTCACCTCAAAGACCATCTCAAAATAGGGAACTGTTTTCACTGGTGTGCTTGTCATTCTGGCCTTTGTGAGTTGGAACTCTCTTCTGCCTGTAATGCCCATCTAAATGCCCCTGAAATTAGCTATCATGCAATCACAATGCTAAAGTTTTGGATAAATCTCTGATAAAATGAAGCAAGACCATGCAAGATGCAGAAATCACCAATGAAACACAAGGTCAGATACCACTGTTGAAAACCATCATATACCAGAACTCAGAATCTCATCTCCTGGAAATTAAGCAAATTCCTAATTGGGTGTTGATTCACACAAGTGTCTATCTAGTTTTGTAGATGATACCTACTGAGATTGTAGATATCTAATCTTATTTGCATCTAAAGAATTCTCCAAATGTGTTTTAAGGTCCTGTAAGCAAAGATTAGTGAGGGGTTGATCTTAGGTACATCAGCCCGTGACATCTCTACAATATTTTTGAAAAAGTTATAATGCTTAGAAACAATAGCTGGTTAACTAATGGGATTCTTCCACCGAAGGAAAGAAGTGTATTCTTCAAGAAATCATGTGAATTTAACATGCCAATATAAACAGCTCCTCAAGACACCTTTCCTAGGTACCAATTCAATGTATCAAAGCTCAAGTATGAGGATGCAACTCACGAAGTTACAAAATGTCTCCCCATAAAGCATCCATGATCTAAATTTTGCTTACCTCTAGACAAAGGCACAAAGCAAGAAGAAATCACGTGCACATTAGTAAATTTCTATGGTAAAGGTGTAGGTTATAATAGACTTTAGCAATACAAGAAAAGAACAAATAATAACCTACCTTGCAGACTCAAATCAAAAGTCTCCCTTGACAATCCATTCACCTATATGCAATGCTAACCAATGAGACACATTTACCACTTAAGGTCCTTGGAAATCCACCACACTTGAAAGTCCCACTTCATCATAATGAAGAAAAAGTCAAATCAATGCAACCATAGGCATTCTCCATTATCCATCAAGCCCACCAAACCAACAGAGCAAAATGCAGAAATGGATATCGTACATCAAAACCTCTTAAGTAACCAAGTTCTAATCCAATTTTAACTGCCATAAGCAGAACATCAACATCTGGAAAGTTGAATGACAACATAAATTCAAATGTCAAGAAGCCTATGTGTAGAAAAATAACCTTTTGGAGTTAAGTGAATACAATCTCATCTTACGCGTTTAAGATTACTGACTAAACCATCACAGCATCGCTCTAAGCTCAACTATAAAATGACATAAAAATTAATAGACATATGTCGAAAAAGGGAACACCAGAAACAGAAACAAGACAAAACTGAAACAAATAGAAAAAGATAAATTAAAAAAATACATTAGAATATAAGGAACTTAACTATCTACATAAATATTTGACTAGAATGAAATCTGATTCATGGAAACCATCATATCATTCAATAACATAAGAAACTTCAATATCTCTGGTCTAATAATATCACAAACAAAAGACAGCTGTCCCAAATATGTAAACAAGAAAGCCACTTTCTTTCCATTACACCAAACTCTAGATAAATTAACTCTGAATCCAAACCGAGGACTCCAAGAGAAGTTCTCTTTGCCGTGAATAACCATGTCCTGAGGTAAAGCTTGAATGAGCATTGATGCATGCACAGGAATGTCCCAAGACTTAGAAGGAAACTAAGTGGATTATACAATTCAAATTCAAACATGTACTAGTTCAGACCCTCTTTTTTTTTTCCTTTCTTTATTTCTTTTTTTTTTTTTTTGGATGCCAGTTCAGACTGATAAAACAATAGAAAACCCATTGGGAGTGGAAGTTGGAAAGCTAGAAAACCACCTGAAAAAGAAAAAAAAAAAAATTAAGAAAATGAAAAAGATCCCTCAAAAGTCTTTCAATAGTGATAGTTGGGTTTTGATGTTTAGCTCACTTAGTTCCCTATTTCCAACTCCCAAAGCCCAGTTCACAGAGTGATGCATATCCATTCAAATAAACCCAATTTCAACTTGGGGTCCAAATGCACCCATGAAAAATAAAATTAAAGCACCCATTTTGCATAAATGCCCCTTAATAAATCTAACATCTAGAGTTCACACAAAGTGCAATTCCCAAAAAAAAAAACTGAGTCAAAATCAACTAAAAAGTAGAAATTTAAGAGAAAAATAAACAGATTTCTACAAAGATGAGCAGATACCGTCCAATCAATAGCGTGGAAGAAACCCATGAAGTTATCATACGCAGGACGAGCTCCTTTGCGTATCTCTAATACAAAAGTTTCAAAGAGCAGATTCATTTGCTTGAAATGATCGTCAAGCGCCACTTTGAGCTCGTCCATGGCTGTAACAACAGGGCAGCTTGCTAGTAGAGAGCGAAAGGAACGTATTGAGAGAGAATGAATGTTCTTGAACACTTGGAAAGAGAGGGTGCGCCTGTGTTCTTGAAAACTTGGAAAGAGAGGAAGAGAGCCACCTGCTCTCTCTCGAAGGCGTGTCTAGAGAGATCTGACAGAAGGTGGACTTGCGACCAAGTTCACAGACACGAGTTTTCAAGCACTACAATTACTGCTAATAATTCCTGGGAAGTGCATAACATTTGGGAATTTACTTTTGAGAAATTTACATTAATATCCCCTCAAATTATTGATATTTAAAATATAATAATAATAAGGAAAGGAAAAATCTATATTTGGTTGGAACCTCAAATTCTAGAAAAAAAAAAATACATGTCACAAAAATCTATGGACAATGGTTGTTTCTAGGGCAAAAAAACTCTCTAATTGATCATCTCGTTAATATATATGGATGTGAAAAAAATATAAATATCAAAAAATATATATCTTGTACATTTTCTAGACTGTCTATTACCAAAACTTTTATATTTTTCTAGAATTGCTTGATTTGTATCATTTTCTTGTTTCATAATTAGATTTGAAGCATTTTTCTAAGCCATCATTGAAATTTCGGGCAGCAAAATTATATCTTGATGAGCTTGGGAAGTGCACCTTAATTGGGTTGTATAAAGTGTCAAAAAATCTATCGCTAAAGGTTGTTTCTACGTAAACTCTCTAATTGATCATCTCAATATCAATATATATGTATGTGAAAAAAAACAATATAAGTATCAAAAAAATGTACATCTTGTAATACATTTTTTAGACTGCCCATTCCCAAGATATTTATGCATTTGTAGATCTGCTCGATTTGTATTATTTTCTTAGTTTTAAATTTTGTAATTAGATTTGAAGCACTTTTCTTGGCCATCATTGAAATTTCGGATACCAAAATTATATCTTTTGATGAGCTTTGGAAGTGCGCCTTAATTGGATTGTTTAAGGTTGACACTTATACAAACCACACCCATTGGGAATTCTTACAGGAAAATCTTATTCTTTGAAATATATTATAGTCCTATATATTTTATATTTTACGCTCAAGTTGCACTCTTTGAGAGCATAATGCATATTTTAATTTTACCTTATAATAGATACATGGGATTAAACTCAATTTGGTATGCTAATAATTTTCTCAATCACACACCCATAAACACTTTTAAAAATTTAAAATAATAAATGCTTAAAATACCTATAACATATTCATGGGTATTTTGATAATTTTATTTTTAAATTATTTTTAACTTATAGGAGTGTCATCGTGAGTAATATGAACATATCAAATTTGAGCTTAATCCGATGTATAAAAAACAAAAATGATAAAATTAAAATAAATATTATGCTTTCCAAAGTGGGATTGAATAGAAAATATGAAATGTATAATCCTATTTTTTAATTTCAAAAATAGAACATGACTTTTATGTAAATTGCCGTATCCATTTTTTTTTCTAATTTTTTTTATTTCTTTTTCAAATTGCCCTTTACTTTGGATGTTGAAGATCCAAAGTTGAGCATGAGTTTCCAAAAAACTTAATGCCTTCAGTATCTTATGTTAACTTAAGAATTCAAGATCAGAATTCCGTTTATGAGAGGGCCTCACACATGAGATTTGAAGTTGGATTCAGACAACTGCAGTTCTTGAATGTCTGAAGGTGGGTTTTTCCAAGCTCAACTGTAGACCTTCATCTGAAGTATGGGAAAATTGTGAAAATATAAAAATTAGAAAGAAAAAATACGTATGCAAGTAATAATGAAACTTTGGAGGGAAAATTTTAAAAAATTGATTTTTGGGTGGATATCCGCATAAAGTTCACTTTACCACTTGGGTAACTCCTTAAAAAAAAGGGAATTTCTAAATTGCCAATTAGGGGCTTTTAAATATGTTCATCTCGAGGAGGCCCAACCAAATGATAGAAGTACCCCACTTATTTAGGTATACAAATATAGAATATATTGTTCAAGGTTCCTCATGAGTAATAATAAAAGGTATTTGAGTGCCAAATGATAAAAATACCCCTAGATATTTCTCATTACAAACCATGAATAATTTATTCTTTATATATAACCCTAAACAAAACAGCCCCGATTTCATCATTAAGTTGGAACCTCATAAGGTTCAAATTATTAAAACAGTTTATTGATCCTAAACAAGTGTAATTTGGGAATTCTTTAAGATTTATTTTTAGGAGTTACCTATCAATTGGGATCATTTGTGCCCTTTAATGATTTTGTAAGGGGTTTAAACGCCTTGGATGATAGTTTCCCATAATTTAATAAAAATATTCATTTAATTATTGTTAAATAGGAATGAGATCTACACCATCCAACATCATTGCGCAAGCTAGTCATATACACAAATGGACAATGCATATCGTACCAAAAAAAATCTAGTTTAATTCTTGGGAGTTACATGCACTTCTACATTATATTAGACAATGCAGATTGGAGGGCCCGTTTTGATTTACACGATAATTGAGTACATACAAAAACTGTACACAGTACCATTCAAGTCTCCTTAAACCATTACCCCTATGTGAGAAAAGACTTACACGCTATCATTTAGAAACACAAACAACTCCTAAATCTTAAAAGAATCCCTCTTACTTACCTTCCTCCTCTCTTTTTTTTTCCTTTTGTTTTTTTTCTGTTTTTTTTTTTTTTCAAGGAATGTCTCTTCTCGTTTTCCATTTGATGTACATGGGGGCAAAATTACATAATAATCAAATATTGCATAACAGATATCAAAGTGCATAACTGAGATCAAAATTGAATTATTCGAAAATGTAAGTAAAGTTTAAAGTGGAGCTTAATACTCCACTTTTCGGACTATGAAAAGAGTAATTGTAAAGTCTAAGTTTGCAAGGAAGCTTAATACTCCACTATCAGATATGTAATAGAGTTTCAAATAAGGAAACTCAGACCTGTTAAAAAAAAATCAATCAATTCCTTTAATGTTAGAGTTGAAGGCACGAGATTCTCTCATTGTCTTAAGAGGTATTTGACATCAACAGGTAGTGACGAGAATACCCCTACTATAAGCATGATGTAGACTCCTCTAATTTTTCAAGAAAAATCTCTAAAAAAACAATCTTTTTTTTTTTGATTTGCCGCTAACAGCAAGAAGCGTGGGTTTATCTTCGATTTGGTACCCACTAAAAGAAGTTTGGTTAAAAAATAACCTCAATTTATAAGGGTTTTTTTTAGGAAAAGGTTCTATATTTTCCCTACCGTCCAAATTGGATCAAGTGAACCACTGATCGTTTGATCTAGATATAATGCCTCTTAATATTTTATTTTTATTTTTTTATACAAATAGTATGAATGTAAAAGTATGTATCGTTATTCACTGGGGCACACCTAAAAATAATATTAAATTTTTTCGATAAAATCTAATGACCAAAACACCCCTTGAAGCTTTAAGGGTATTTTGGTCATTTTATTTTATTGGAAATATTATTGTTTTGTATTTTTAACAGGTGAGAGTTCAAGATAGGAGTGGACGCCCAAAATTTGGTAACAAAATATTTTGTACAAAAAAAATAAAAATAAAATAGTGTAGAGACATGACATTGGGGTTGAGGCTATCTTAGCCCTCCATTCAAAATGAACGGTTGCATAAAAGAAGTACATAAGTTTTATGCAATCTTGCCCTTTTATTTATCACAATAAAAAAGAAAATAACTAAATTGCAATCTAAAATAAGGTATATATAGAGGGGTATTGGCCAACCAGGGTCAACACCTATTGGCTGAAGGAAATTATGGACATGTCTCCAAACAATAGTCGCATATTGATCAAAAAAGTTCATGTTCTTAACACTTCACACTAAATCCCTATGTCAAAAGCATATCAGTTGATCATAAGTAATATAGTTAAGGTAGCTAATGGTTTGGGCAAGCTTTTAGGTTTCCAGGTCGGGCCCAATGTTTAGGCTTGGTTTGGGCCTGAACAGGGTTGTGTCTTACGTGAAGCCCTTTTTTTCATGTTGGGTCGGGCCACAAATACAGTGTAAAATCAGAATTGACTAACTTCTATTCAAAGAGGAAACATATAAATATACAAAGGTATAACAAGAATCCCACAGAAGAACGGAGTTCAAAAACAAAAAAACAGTTACACAGTTACAAAGAGATATGAGAGTAACATGCGTGTAGGATATTGAGGTGCACCGGGCTTCTCTCGGATGACTTGACAAAGTCAAGATTAGTTGTATACACCCCCTCAAGTTGGAGTGTGAGGGTCAAGAACACACAACTTGTTCTAAAGATATAGAAATTGCTCTTTGCCAAGAGGATTAGTGAAAATATCGGCACGTTGATTGTTGGCGCAAAGATAACGAGTTTGGATGAGACCTGCTTGTAATTTCGTTTTAACAATATGACAATTCAGTTCTATGTACTTGGTATGCTTGTGGAAGACCGGATTCGAAGCAATGGGTAGCGCTACTTGATTATCACAAAAAGGTACATGGGTTGAGCATGTGCAATTTCCAAGTCACGAAGGAGATACTCAAGCCAAATTAGTTCACAAGTGGTTGTCGCCATAGCTCGATATCCTGCTTAGGCAGAGGAGCGGGATACAATACTCTGTTTTCTTGTACGTCAGGAAATGAGGTTGTTTCCAAGAAAGGTGCAGTAACCCGTAATTGAGCGACGAGTGATGGAGCAGCTGGCCCAATCGGAATCTGAGTAGCTAGATAATTGAAAATTGTTTGAAGCTGTCAAAAGAGTACATTGACCGGGGCTGGTTTTTAGATAGCAGAGAATGCAGGTAGCGGCATCCATGTAAGGTTGGCCCGGTGACTGCATGAATTGGTTGAGGGTATTAACCAAACAAGTGAAATCTGGTCTAGTAATTATTGTAGACTCCCCATTTTAAGTTTGGCAAATTTTGTGGTTTCTTAAACCCTAAGGATCAAATCCATAGTTCACATAGCTTACGTTATAACCCAGAACCAGTTTGCCAATCCAAAACTTTACAGAAACTCTGTTTTGACCCAGAATCCTGTAAACACCATGTTTTACCAAAAAAACCATTAAAAATAGTAAAAAGAATCTGTTTTGACCCAAAAATTCTCTAAGAGCTTCACAAGAGGCTAAGGAACACACCTGAAAAGAAAAATAAATAAATTTGAACATTTGACTTGGGCGACACTGGCATGTTGCCCAG